GTTAGCCAGTCCCTGACTAAGTGCAGAGATCATCTCCCGGTGCATGTCCCGTCCTGTCTGTAGGCCTCAGTTCCTCAGAGCTCAGCCTGGTGAACCAATTTCCTTTGAAGTATCCTTTACAACTCAGTTAATAGTCTCGACAATAATTCTCTTACTCACATTTGGCATTTTAAGGAGCCAAAAGAAGATAACTGAGATTCAAGGACAAAAAAAAAAAAAAGTCCATTTCATTTTACCAAGTGAGAGAAAAAAAAAAAAAAAAAAAAAAAAAAAAAAAAAAAAAAAAAAAGTCCCTTTCATTTTACCAAGTGAGAAGTCATGAAAAGACAGCGAGAGTTTACTTCCAAGTCCCTAGGGAGCCAGGCTGGCAGATTTTACTATGCCAGCACCATGCCTACCCCTTTTGTTGGTTACTAAGTCACTTCCAACTCTGTCTTCCCATATCTGTATAAAGAAACTCTAAGCCATTAAGAATTCCAAGCTGGGCTGGAGGGATGGCTCAGTGATTAAGAGTACATATGCTCTTGCAAAGGGAGGGTCAGAGTTTAGTTCCCACACCAGGCAGCTCACAACTGCCTGTGACTCCACCTCTGGGGGCAGAGGGAGGGTGTGTGTGAGGGGGTGGGAGCTGATGCTTTCATACCTCCATGGGTTTCTGCACTCATGTGCAGCCCCCATCCATATGTGTGTATACATTATGTGTATATGTATGTATGTGTATATATATGCATATACGTAATTAAAAACAAATCTTTAAGAATTCCAAGCTGTATTAAGTGAAAAGGCTGTGTATAAGCATTATACTCGTGTATACAATAAGGGTAAGAAACTTTTACATGCAGCAAGTTTTACTGAAATGATGCATAGGGACTTCAGGCTGGACTCAAAGAACAAAGGTCTTTCACTAAAGACGTGTGTGTGTGTGTGTGTGTGTGTGTGTGTGTGTGTGTGTGTGTGTGCGCGCGCGCGCGCGCGCGAACGCACACACGCGCGCGCACACCAGAGGCTGGTGTCAGGTGTCTTCCTTTGTCATTCTCCATTTTATTTTTGCAAGATTTATTTTTACATTTACACATGTTTTTGCATGTATGTATGTATGTATGTATGTATGTATGTATGTGCACCATCTGAGTGTTTTTATGTGTATGGGTGTTTTCCTTACAGGTATGTATGTACACCATGTGTTATCTCTAGTGCCTACAGAGGTCAGAAGTGGGTATCACATCCTCTGGCAGTGAAGTACAGAGGGTTGGGAGCCACCATGAGGGTAGTGGAAACTGAACCCTCATCTTCTGTAAGACCAGCAAGTACTCCTAACCACTGAGCCATCTCTCCAGCCTCTGTGCTTCACCTTTCTTTTCTTTTCTTTTCTTTTTTTTTTTTTTTGAGAGGGGGTCTCTTACTGAACTTGGAACTTGACCAGGAAGCTCCAGTGATCCACCCATCTCTGCTCTCTCCACCGCACTGGGTTACACACACACTAACACATAGGACTTTTCCACGGGTGCTGGGGATCTGAACCCAGGTCCTCATGGTTACACAGCAAGTACTTTACCCACTGTGCCCTCTCCCTGCCTCCGAGTGCTTTACACTCTATAACTATTTAGCATTTAAATTGTGTCCAATTTAAGTGTGTGTGTGTGTGTGTGTGTGTGTGTGTGGGTGTGTGTGTGTGTGTATGGGCCTGCTCTCGAATGCATGATACAAGTCATGTGTGGAGTTAGAGAGTATTAATTCTCTCCTTCCACTATGGGTTCTAGGACTCGAGTCATCAGGCTTGCATGACAAGCCATTTTAACCATTAAAGCCATCTCACTAGACCACTCACTATCTACCACTTGCCTGCCTGAGCTAAGTGTTATTTCACATGAATCTCTATAATATATGATATGTGTTTGCTAGTAGCAAGCTACCTAAGAACTTGGCTTCCATGTGCTGCCTAATTACTGTCTCTCCTCCCTCTAGATGCAGTAGTTTAATTCTAATCCCATCTCCATCTCCCTGATGCTCATCCCCTGACCTGGTCCAGAAGTTAGCAGCTGCAGGGCAGATGTCTCACAGATCAGTTCTGTGAAGGAGGCCACTGAAGCTCGGCAGAGCTGAACTGGCTGGTGGGGAACCTGTCTCCTCCGGAAGGCAGAGTGAGCCTCCAGGCCAAGCCTGGCTCCCACTTGGTCCCCAGTAAATAAGCACAACACAGACTGGCCCAAACACCCCCTTCCCTATGCTTCAAGATGCCAAGAGGTTTGTGAGCTCCTGGGGCAAAACAGGAAATGGGGTTGGGATCCTCCTTGACCCTGATCCCTCTTCTGCTCACCTGTGGCTCCTTTCAGTAACTACCAGCACCCCTTGAACATCCCCTGCCAGAACTTCCCTGGTCCTATGAAGAGTCAAGTTTGGAGACTATTCTATGTATGTACTGTGAGCATCGAATCCAACGAGAAACAGAAAGTACTGTGTTTGTGCCTTTTTATTTATTTTTTTAATACTGGCGCCAAAACTGGCAGAAAACAATACTCTTCCTAAAGAAATCAGATGTCAGACTGTCTTCTCCTAGGCTAATTACATGCAGGGTAATTATCCCATAACTCTAGAAGAAGCAGAGCCTCACCTCCCAGCTCGCAGTCAGCACCCAATCTAAACTGTAGCCTCAGTAGCTGGGGGATAAATGTATCAGTGTACCTTCTATGCCCTTCATTGCTTGGGATGTAGTCCCATCGCCATACATTAGGGGCATTGGTACCTTTTAGTGTACCTTCTATGCCCTTCATTGCTTGGGATGTAGTCCCATCGCCATACATTAGGGGCATTGGTAAAGTGTGCCTTTGTTAATTCAACAATCTACAATGAAAGAAATACAGTCACACATACCTGCTTCTTGGAGGCACGCTTACCTTATCCTTTACAGCCAAGATTCATGGGAAAACATTGCCTCTCCCCTCCAGGAACCCTCTCACTTTTTGAGAGGGGGAAACAAGAAGCCCAGAGTACCTGAGCAACTTGTCTTAAGTTGTACAGCTACTTACACAGGGCTGAGAATGTCATCCCGGTGACTCATGAAGACTTGATTAAGATGGTACACAATGCAAGGTTGGTTTCACGAGCCACAGCAGACCCTAGAGATATTCTGTGACTCTCAGTATGCACAGTGGCTTTCTCTTACCTAGTTTCCTTTGCTGGGGTTTCACTTACCTGAGATCAAGAATGGTCCAAAAGTATTAAGTGGAAAATTGCAAAAATAAATAACCCATGAATCTGAAATAATTTTATTATAAATATGTTGTTATAATTACCCCAGTTATTAGCTGATACTAATATCCTACTATACCTAATTGACAAATCTAACTCTGTCACAGGTATGTAGATACAGGAAAGCATAGTGTGTGTTTATGTGTGCAAATGTATGTGCATGTGTCTATGAATGAGCATGTGTAAATATGTGTGTGTGTGCACCTGTGCGATTATGTTTATGTGTATGCATGTGTGTAGGTGTATCTGTATCTCAAAGTATGTCTGAATGTGTGAGTGTGTATATGTGTTGTGTATCTGCATGTGTGTGTGAATGTGTATTTGTACTGTATATCTGGACGTGTGTATGAATGAGTATATGGGTATATGAGTCTCTTTCTGTATATATGGCATACAATTGTGTATTGTTTATTTGCTTATATGTGTATGTATTTGTGTCTGTATGTGTGTACATGTGTATATTTGTGTGTATTCGTACATGTATGTCTTTACATGTGTACCTATAGGTTTGTTTGTATGTCTATGTATTTGTATGTATATTTGTATGTGCTTGTATGCCTTGTCTGTATGCGTGTACACATGTGCCTGTATGTGCGGTACTGTACTGTCTTCATCCAAGCACTCATCTGGGTTTTGAAACCTATGCCCCACAGATATGGGGCACTTATTTAATTGCCAGAAAGTTCAGAACTCAAACACTAGCAGGTTTCTTAAGTATCCCTGTATTCCAAACCACCATCGACTTTTTATGATTTGGTTTTTGTTTATTATGTGAGTGAGTGAGAAGTGTGTCTGTGTGTGTGTGTGTGTGTGTGTGTGTGTGTGTGTGTGTGTGTGTGTGAATGCCATATGTGTAGGGGCCCATGGACACCAGAAAGGGACATTGGATCTTCCAGAGCTGGGGCTACAGGTAGTGGTGAGCTGGCTGAGAACTGACCTTGAGTCCTCTGGAAGAGCAGCAAGTGCTCTTCAAACCCCACTATCAACTCTTTGGAGGACAGAAATACATTATTCTTTGTGGTAGTCCTGGGCCATCTGTGGCTACTGAGGACTTAAATTGTGGCCAGTGCATTAGAGAAACAAAGTTTTCTCATTGTATTTCAATTAAACAGTTTTAAACCACACGTGGCTGGAGGCGTCCACAGCAGATAGTGTGCGCTCACTCTGGGGTTTTCTGGGTTTTCTGGGGTTGAGTGAGAACACTGAACTCTGAAGGCACATGGACTGATTTGGACTTCCTAGTTCAATCAATTTGCCCTGTCAACTAACTCCTACCTCAACTGTCAAGCGCATTACAAAGAATTACTATCCCTACCTCACAGTGGCTCACACAGCCCCTGGAAGGCACTGGTCACACAAGGAGAACATGCCTCCTGTGTTCCCTCTCTCTACTCAACTGTAAAATCTAGAATTTGCCTTTTCATCCCTATGGGATGTAGTCCATGCTAGAGGAAACAAGGACTCAGAGGTCCCACCCAGGAGGACCCCCACAGTGGGCAGAGATGATACATAAATAGTCTCACTTCTCTCAGATGTTCTGTGATTACAACTCTTGATGTTGATGGACACCAAGTCAAAGATGCTTACACTTTGCTTCTAGGAGCCATGGGCATCTTGGGAAGCAGCCAAAGGCAAAGTACAGAAGCAGACAATGTGATGGGGAGCTCAGGAGGGTCCTGAAACGGTTTACTTGGTTGCTGCCTTCCTTCTTCCCTTATGTAAGTCCCATGGAAACCCAAGCCCCTAGTTACCTGAAGCAGCAGAGGTGGGGGTAGTGGCCGGTGGAGGCTGGGCGGAGCTGCTGGTCTCAGCCATCAGGCATGGGTTGCTGGCATTATTCTCTCTCTTGACAAGCAGCTCAGCGGCACTGGGCAGTGGGATTGGGTGGCTGATGCCCAGTTCCTCTTCCTGGGCCTGCTGTCTTCTCAGGGCCACCTGGAAGCACAGGGCAGTGAGTGACCCTCCAGCATACTGAGCTGCACATTTCTGCTAAACTACTGTGGTTCTCAGCATTCTGCCTTCTCCACTGACCTGACTTCTTGGTGTGCTGGCACAAGCTGGAGTCAATGGAAAGGAGGGAGCCCCAACTGAGGAAATGTCTCAATAAGACTGGGCTATAGGCCAGCCCGAGGGGTATTTCCTTAATTAGTGATTGATGTGGGAGGCCCAGTCCATTGTGAATGGGACCACTCCTGAGCAGGAAGCCCTGGGTTCTGTAAGAAAGCAGGCTGAGCAAGCCCTGAGGAGCAAGCCAGTAAGCAGAATCCCTCCATGGCCTCTGCATCAGCTCCTGCCTCCAGGTTTCTGCCCTGTTTGAGTTCCTGTCCTGCCTTCCTTCAATGGTGAATGCCAATGTGAGAGTGTAAGCCAAATAAACCCTTTCCTCCTCAAGTTGCTTTTTGGTTGTGGTGTTTCATTGCAGCCATATAAACCCTAACTAAGACAGTAGGTAACTAAAATATGCTGAGCTGGAAAAACCGAAAAATGGACTCAATACCAAGAAAAGGCTCTGATGGGTTAGAAAGGAGAATTAGACCGATCACTCCTTCATTTGACATGGACATAAAAGGCCACTGTACTGAGAATATGAGGCAGTGAGGTCAGCTTAGACGCACGTTCCTCACCACTTAGGAGAAAATGGAGGGAAGCGAACAAGCATGCAAAGTCAATACAAAAATGTGCTAGACACCGTGAGACATACACAGCAAGCCTACAGAAAAAAAAAATCCAACTAAAATATCTTTAAAATGTAGGTAAGTATTGTGCCAGTAATCCCAACATATGCCAGTAATCTCAGCATTTAGAAGGTTGATGCAGGAGGATCAAGAGTTTGAGGCAAGTCTGGGCTACACAGCAAGACCCTACCTCTAAAAAGAAACAAAAATGCCTTTCAAGTGTAAGCATCCCACAAGGATTCTAGCAGAGCTGTCAAGAAGGGGTGAGCAGGGTTTGTAAATGCCAGGGGAAGGGCAGAACAATCTGGAAGAAGCAGAGTGGACAGGAAAGCCAGGGACTGCTCAGGGACCCTAGAAGAGCCCTGTTTCCCAAGGCAGAGTTAAAGCTAGGGGAGAAGGAGGCTGGAATCTGGTGCTTGAAGTCCCTGGGGTAGGAGATTCCGGCAGGAAGGTGAACTAGAACTGGAGAAAGAACCCAACATGCATTTACTGAACTCTGTGTGGTCCTTATTCAACTTGTCTTTTAAATAACATTTGTTAAATTTGGGTCCCAAAAAGGCTTAAAGAAAATGAAGCGCTCTGTTTACCACATGTAGCAAAAACAAAAGACTTTCTCTGGAAACTGACCATTGACCATACAACAAAAGAAGGTAAAGTACCAAGACCTCAGAGGCCTAAAGAGCAAAGGTAAAATCAAAATGCTAACTCAAAGGCACAATTCCACAGGCTGGGAGTGTAGCTCAGTAGTACTTGGTTCACTGGTATTTGGTACTAGGCTCAGTGTATGGAACTTAAGGAAGGAAAAAAAAAAAAAAAAAACCACCCTAACTGGGCCAGAGGCAGGACTCAGTGGGTAAATGCTCTTGTAGTCAATCTGCAGTCCCAAGTTCAAGGGAAGAAGGACCCAACTACACAAAACTGTCCTCTGCCCTCAACACCTGCACCCCATGCCACAATTTTTACAATCCACAACTATAATCATCGTAATTTTAAAACTACCATCCAAACTTAACTGATCAATGTGGAAATTTTGCTCATAGTCAAAGGAAGCTTTAACTTTGAATGGGAGACTTTAAATAAGCTTGTCTTGTTTGTTGTGGGGTTGTTTGGTTTTTTACATTATTCAAGAGGCTTAAAAACAGAACAGCAATGACTTGGACAAGAAACCCTGGAATACCCCAAGTGCACAGCTTAGCTATGCAATGAGCCCATATCTTTTTTCAAAAACTTTCTGTTAGGAAATGCTTATCCAGACAGGGAAGGAGGTAGCAGCTGATTAAAGATGCAATTGTTTTCAACTTATGTTTAATATCTATTTCAAATTATTTACAAGTGAGTAAAACCCAATAATTATCTGAATTTTTAAGAACTGTCTTGCACAGCACCCTATTCCTGGTGTCAAAAATCCTCATACCCCACTCATTCTGTAAGAAATTTTGAATTGCTTTTTTGTTTTGAAGTCAGCTTTTAAGAACCTCAAAATTAGCCCCCTAACCAAGGTGATTCAAAATTAATGTCTCAATTAGAATAAATATTTTATTCCTTGGAGGAAACTCCTTCCAATTATAGTCTTCACACTGAACACAGAATCCACCCATGTTTTAGCTACAAGCATAATTTGTTTTATAACCTCATTGTGATGCCTTTCAATGTCATGTGGAGCATATTCTTTTAATTCATTACAGACTAAGCTAAAATGTCTTCTAAGAAACTAAAAAAAATATTTTTAACTTCACAATGTGAAGCCAAAGTGTATGTAATTTAAGACGTATTTTTAAAGATATGATGCCCATAGTGGGGTGTAATCTTTAAGGTTTGTGCAGCCCTGTTCAACCTTCTCATCTGCATCACTTTCAAAAGACATTCTTAACCAAAAGTAAGTAGTTCTTCTTTAGCAAACATTTCTTTGGTATCTTTTCATTTTAAATAACCTGCTTTAAGATGAAACAACATTTGGGGGGAAAGAATGTATATTATTGCCTTCTAAAAATCCTTTAGGCTACCGACATTTAACTATTTCCGTTATGATGGTAAATTACTAGCCTGCTGTTCAAGCTATTTAAAAAAAAAAACTCTACAGAGCTTAAGACTGGCATCTTCCCCCTGCACCTGTAATTTTTTTTTTCATTTTTAAGCATGAGTAAAACATTTTTAAAGTAATCTGAACTGACCGAACTTGGGTCCGGACTACAAATTTGCATTTTCAGACCGCTCAAAATGGCTGAGGCGCTTGCCTGGGTCCGCCGGGCGAACCCGGAAAGTGCGCCAACAGAGGCGCGAACACGCTGCGCTCTCACCCCCAAGGACTTTTCCAGAAAGCCCCAGGAGCAGCACATTCCCGCGCCGCTAGGGTGAAAGCTGGTCCAGGCGCCCCCTTTCCCCTAACTGGGGCAGCCTCTTGGGGACTCCAAGCCAGGGGCCCCAGGGGGGATGGGGCTATGGGAGTCCTTCCAGAGGGCCGAACCCCTCAACTTCCAGCTTGAAGTCGGAGTTCAAATCCGGCAGTGGAACAAACCGCGCCAGTCTGCTAGCCATGCCCGGATCTCAGGAAGTCCGCACCGACGCCCCAACATCCCTGGTCGGATGGCGCGGTCTCGGGGTCTTCTAAGTCAGGGAACCTAGCAACTCTGCTCACAGAGCACCCTTAGAAACCCTGGTGCACAAGTGCGTGGCGAACCCCGAAATTCAGCTGGAGAGGGGCTCAGGATGGGGGGAACTCTGAGCAGAATTCCACTCGGTTCCCGAGGGCGAGCGTGCGTAT